AGCTAAAAAGTCAACCCACATTCCAAACAAATGCTTAAAAAGTTACTCTCTTTTTTTAAAAAATGTATTTTACAATATTTTTATATATATTTTTAATATAATTTTATGGATAATTCTACAATACACACTCTTTTATCTGTGTGTATATAATTTCTCTATGCACACCTTTATGAAATTAGTTTTATGCTTTTGTTCTTAGCCCACACCTCACATGTTTCAATTATACCCTAAACCAACATTCTTGTACACACATCACTTAAACCATTTGTTCCACAGAGAATCAATGGTGTAGACCCATTTTTTATTCCATCCACCTTGAAAACACAACAACATCTTTCACAAGAAATCCCTCAGCAAATCGCTCCATGAATCTTCAGATTATACAACAAACTACCTCATTTGATTTCCAGTTACATCATCAAACTGATTTCTTCAATCAACAATTTAGTCAGCATCGAAAAAGTCATTAATTGGCATAGGCTTGTATCAATATAGATCTTGAAACAGTATCGCTTTGTATCAAACTTCATTGAAGACGTACAACTCCATTTATTTCTTATTTTTCATAAACTCTTTTTTTTTTTTTTTTTGGAAGCAATTCCATTTTGCTTATTCAGTACTAGTTATCCGAATGAAAAAATTTTATTCGGTTTTAACTTCCGAAACATGTAAAAAAATTTGGAATTTGGTTTCTGAAATAAATTCTTAAATTTGAAAGTTGAGTTCTGAATTTGGTTGATTTTCGAATAAAATTAATAATTTCAGTAGTTGATATTTGAAAAAAGTAACATGTTTCGACACTGGTTTACCGAATTAAAATCATGAAAAAAAATTTGAACAAAAAAACTTTCATTTTCATAACTGCTTTTGTTATAACCAGGCATATTGTTATTTGAATTTCTTGTCACGCCCCAAGCTCCGTGACAACGCCGCACACTCATTTAAGTGAGCATGCAAGGCTAAGAGTTTAACACATAACCAACAATGTAAAATACTCCAATTAAATCCTTAATTATCATAATGCTAAAATCCATAAAAATTGATTATTCTTATCATATGAAATTATCCACCAAGTCCACTAATAAAATCCATTAACAAAACAATTAATCCAAGTACTTAAATCATAGTCCTACTCTCGGCACTCCCATATGTAAAAAAATTCCCGCACAGCTCTACTCTTCAGAATCTGAAAAAAAAATAAGGGTAAGCTAGATAGCCCAGTAAATAACCAATCATCACTGCTATCTAGATCAAGTATTAAATAAATAAATAAATAAATCGATAATCAATAAATATAAATTTTTCTACAGTTTAATAAATGAACAAGAATTTGTAAGATGGTTTCATAGCTAAAAATAAACAATGTACAATACATTTTAAATGACAAGCCAACAAGATAATTCAAAGTAATTCATTGTTCAAATCGATGGTTCGATATTCAGATGATTCAATGATTTGATTCACAAAACCCAAGTCTTAATGACTAAGGTCACTTAGCCCGTGACAAGGCCCGAGACCACACATAGGCCGGTGGTAAAGCCCCAAAAGAAACTAGTTTCTGTGCCAATAAATAACCCTCATTGGCTAGGGTCCAAATCATAGTCAGACTAGAGTGATATTCAAAATTCAAACAATACACAACTTTTAACTAAAACATCAATATTTTCAGAATAAACGTTTAGTACAATTTTCAGAATAGTTTCACCAAATATTCAAATAATTTTCATAATAATATTCGATATTGTTTTATACTTGATCCATATTTTATTTCAAGAGAACACATGAAGGCTATAAATAAATATTTATGATTTTAAACGATTCGATAGGAATAAAAAAAAATGAACCAACAGTAATAGAAGGTTACTTGCCTCAAACAGCTAAAATAATATTTCCCAAGCTAATATCAAATTACCAAGATCCACCTCAATCTCACGAACCTAATAAAATATTATACCACATAAACAATTATTATTTGCACCCATCCTTCTCTTCTTGTAGCAACCATAGAATAATTAATCCAATTGTTTATCAGGGACCCCCACAATTTAGCATCAAAACAAAGCCATCACGGCTTCGGAATTCTCAACCTATATTATTCTATTGTTGTTCATATACATGTATAAATTTGTAATTGCTTGTAGCCAAACTTGTATCCCACAAACACACCACCATTAAACTTAACCCATCGCATATCAATCTCAAAATATGAACCACCCAAACGGGATGCAAAATACATTCTAAAATTGAGCAAAATCGAGACCCCCAACATAGACTACGTCAATATATCTATTTAATCATATATGCCCATAAAATCATCTATTGATATATTAACATCAAAATCATAGATAAGAATACAATAAAATAAATCTTACCTTAAGTGATGAATAAAGAAAAATCACCACTCTATGAATCCTCCTTCTTCACTTTGGTTTTGTTTTGTTTTCTTTAATTTTTCTTTTACCTTCTCAAACTCTAGTTGCCTATGGAGCAATTCCCAGCCTCTATTTTGTTTGTTTCCCAAGACTTAAAGCCACAATAGGTGGGCTTATTAACCTAATTTCTCAAAGTTACAAAATTACCCATCTAAGTAATAGAAAATATAATGCCATCTCATAACTAATTCTTTGATATTAATAAATGATCTATATAAATTAATTTAATTACTAATCTATCCAATAAAATAATCCTACACACAACTTGGGTTTTACATTTCTATTGATTTGTAACTCTTCCATCACAAAAATCAAGAATTATGGCGGATTCTAATGACAAACGATATAATCAATGGAGTATACAAGACTAAAGTAATATGAGAGTATTGCTTTGCAAACAATAGATGACTATAGAGTGTTTAGAAAACAATGATCAATAGAATAAGTGAACAACAATGGAGGAAGTGAGAAACAATGGAGAAACTAGGATTTAGTTTTTTTTTTACTTAAAAGATGCGCACTGAGATTTTTTTTATTTTTAAATGATGTGTACAAAAAAAAACTTTGATTTAATGCTAATGGTGTGTTTTAATGTAATGTTAATGGTGTGTTTTAATGTCCATTATGGTTATTTTACTTCAGGATAAAATTGTCATTAAAATAATATTTCATTAAGTATGTACACAGAGATAGATAGGTGTGGAGAAACAGAATTTCCCAACCTTTACCTATGCACTTTTAATTATGTCATTTTATTTGGGGGATTTGGTCAAAATCCCCTCATAATAAAATTTTAATACATTAATGACAAGCACGAAAAATTTTCCTTAAAAAGTTTAACAAATATCACTATTATCAAAATATTAAACTTTAAAATAATATAACTTTTGATGTATATGTCAGTTTTTAATAAAATTAATATTTTTAGAATTCTCTAATCTAGATTTTCCAAATAAGATCTGTGTTGACTATGAAATTCTTTATAAAAATAAATAAATAAATTATTACCGTTGAAATTGATGTAAACAGTAACAGTAACATGTTACTCTGTCTCACAGTGACATAATATTCTGTTTGACAATTACTCTATTTGACACTAATATGTTACTCTGTTTGACAGTAACATGTTACTTTGGTTCACAATAACATGTTACTCTGGCAATATTGTCAAGGAAAGGAAAAATATATTTTTTTTACTTTATTCTTACTTAATTATGTGTTTTCTCTTTAAGGGATTTATGAAGAAAAATAAATTGGGCTATCTTTTTCACCGAACAAGAGTCCAATGGAGGGATTTTGACTAAATTTCCCTTCATTTTACCCCTTGTAATTTGAGACTAGAACATTTTACCCCCTATTATTTAAATATAGTCAGAAAATACTCATGTGATTTGGATTAAAGTGCTACCGTGGTTTTGGACTAAAGTATTACTGTTAATTTTTCTATCCAAACTAACGAAAGGTGTATCATAAATGCCATTTTTTAGAATGGGTTTTGGTTTTTGAAAAATTAGAATGAAATTAATACAACAAAATGATAATTTTACCTCAATTTTCTCTAAACTTAAAATTAGATTAATATGTTAATTAAAATATAATCAAGAATTTATTTAAAATATAATTATATAAAATATAAAATAAACAATAATTAAGAATTAATCTAAAATGTAATTAAATTAAAATTAGATTAACATGTTAGAAATTATAATAAATAATTAAGAATTTAGGATTAATTGTGATTTAAATTATAATTAAATTAAAAAGTTAGTAATTACAATAAATAGTTAAATATTTAAGATGAATTTAAATTAAAATTATAATAAAAAATTAAGATTTAAAATAAATCATTAAGAATTTATAATTAATTGTGACATAATTGAATTAATACTACACATTATAAATTATGTATACAAAAGAGAAAGAAAATAACAAAAAATATAAGATTTGAGAGTAATATAGTCATTTTACATTCATAATTAACTATGTTAATGATTACATTTTAGTCGAGATTCATGTGGGGGTATGGCTACTTTTAAAAGATAAATGAGTAAAATGCTATCAATTCATACTACATAGAGGTAAAATAAATTTGAAAAATGTTATAGGTCCAAAATTTTCTATCAAATAAATGATTAAATGTCTCACATAAGTGTAACACAAAAAAAAAATAGATTCCCCTCACGTGAAACATTTGATCATTTACTTGGTTAAAATTTTTATATCCCTAACATTGCCGAATAAATTTTGCCCTTTATTTTTTAGTTATGACAACCTTTTTTTAATTATAGTTATGACAACTTTTCTTTAATTATGACATTATTTTAATAAGTTTGATTATGACTTTCTTTTTTAATTATGCATTTTTTATTTTTATACCATTATTCAAAAGAAAAATGATATCATGATATTTATTATGTCAATAAAACTATACTCGCCATATTTTTACTATCTAATGTATGACATACACAATAATTATTGTAATGATATCCATACAAATCTCATTCATATCTGTATTCATATTCATATTCATATTCATATTCATATTCAACCATTAATAGTATACAAAAATATGATAAGTACAAAATTAATTATTTTTTTAAACATTTTTTTTGGGTTAATAAATCTAGTTTTTTGAACAATTCTAATGGTGTCAATTTATCAAAACATCTAAAATCTTTATATAATACTACATAATTCTTGAAAAAAAATAATAAAAATCAAAGTTCAGTGAGTTCAATTGAACCCACTACTTTATGCATAGCTCCGCCCATGCTGCCATCACTTCTAGTTGAAATGGATAGTAAAAAGGGATGCTCCATGCAATCTCAATCATCCACTGGTATTGGTTTGTTCCGTCTTTCCATTCTGAAGAACAACTGCGGCACTTCTTTCTTAGCTGGAAGAATGAAAAATTGAAGACATCGAATTAAGTTTCCTAATAACAAAGAAAGTGACACCAAGAAAGAAGCTACTCCAACTAGAAAAAAGTAGCCCGTAACCAATTACTATTAGTACTCACATTATATGTCTCTACGTCACCGCACAGAAATTTCAGATGAAATGCAAAGCTTCGAGTCGGCCCCACCACTGATCACACTATCACCTTTCCACCAGTCAGCACATAATACCTGAATTTTGAAACGACAACCATATTTAACGAACTCTGAGATTGACTGACAGAATACTGTGGACTCAAACAAAGAAAGAAAAATGGAATACCTTGTCCTTGTGTAAATCAATGACTGCCAGTGGCCACTGCAACAGGAAATCATATCATTTAGATTAAATTTTTTTGTTTCTTTGTTCTTTGTTCTTTTTTCTTTTTCTTTTTTTTAAAAATATGGTGTTGATCCATGCATCTGAATTATAATGGGGCAAAAATTTGGAGACAATAGCATACCGCAGTTCTTAGATCCCATAACATAACTTTTCCATCATAGGATGCAGAAACCAAATGAAACCATGACTTATCGTGCCACTTGCAAGCTGATATCCAGGAAGTGTGAGATGAGAACTGAAAAATAGGAGCCAAAGTTCCTGCCAAAACAATGCCATTCTTTGTAAGATATAGCAGGTGTGTGTCTATGAGAGAGAGAGAGAGAGAGAGAGAACTGATAGGTACTATGGCTTTTGCTAGATTAATACACCTGGTTTGCGGGGATCCCATATTCTTAGGATAGGATCAGAGCCACCAGCAGCAATAAGGGCAGAACTTTCACCTCCAACATCAAGGCAGTTGATGACCTTCCCACAAAACTGTAAGAAGATGAAGGAACTCATTACCTCCTTTTCAACAGAAAGCAGAACTACAAAAATGATTGTAGCTACGAATGTTAAGCAAGGCATGAATCTTTTCTAATAGTGGTGTGGAAGCCAATTTCTGGAAAATGACTTATGTAGGGCAAGTTTTGTTAAAATTATTAGTAACGACTGGCTAACAATCTCATTTGGTAAACATGGAAACCAAGTTTAAAGCAAACGAAAGGCTTCATTCAAAAAGCACACATGCAAGTGAAGAAAAAAGCACACTGATCTCACTCACCATGTTTAGCGAATCTTTGCCAGTTTCAACATCCCATCTTCTGATTGAGTGATCCCATGATGCAGAATAAATTGTTTCCTGTTGCGGCCAAACCACAGAAGACACACATTGTGTATGACCCACGAGTGTAGAGACGGCCTCTCCCTGTATGCAACAGGAAACTCTATATTAAAATGTAAATAGCATGGCCGGGAATAAAATTAATGAAATCTTAAGTTCACTCGCATATTTATTGCAAAGAGCATGTGAAAAGGAAAAAGAAACCAATGCAATTGATATAAAAAAATGTGTGCATACAGGAAAATCCTCTTGCATGGTTCCTAGGTTTGATTGATATCTCTACTTTCCCTTCTATAAAAACCTTTGAAGTCTATTTTTTCTTATGAAACCAATCCCTAAACAAAGCAATATCAAGTGGAAGGTAATGTGAAATATCTGCGAGTAATGTTAATCATTAATCAGTGCATAGCTAAACGCCCATTATATGAAACAGTTCTATCATGTTTAAATATTGTGCATGCCCCATAAATTTTGCCCATTTTGATTTTCATAGTATTTGAAGTGAGTCCAAATAACCATAATTTATATTAATCACTAGCACAGACTGAACTTCTGCAACTAATATCCTCCCTTCCCGGTTACACATACATACTAAAGAATGGATTTTTGCACGTAGATGCTGATTTTTTTTTTTTTAAAATCCGTAGAATTCCAAATTCCCAAAAGGCATGCTACCTCTGATTGAGATTCCTCATCTTCACTGTCCATTTTTCTCTTCTTAATTGACACACTGTCACCTCCTTTATCAAGTTCATTTGTCTGCCACAACTTGATTCTGCAGTCCCAAGAACCTGAACACACCTGAGTAAATGTAACAAAAGAAGGAAAGTGAACAAAGACAACTTTCGAATTTAAAACAAAGACACCTATGTAGAAGATGAAGATAAATGATACCATATCTCCTGCAGGCTGTGCTGCAACACACTGTACAGACGCATTATGCCCACGCAAAATTTTATAAGCTCTAATCTTTGTAGGATGATCAAAGGATTTATCTACACCAAACTTTAAGGGGACAAAGCAATTATTAGAAAGCAGGGGTGTTTTAGTTAACTATGAAACAAAAGTATATCCTTCTTTCTAAAAGTTATAGCATCTTTCAAATACCTTCCACAGCCTTAATGTCCTATCTTTAGAAGCAGTGGCTACAGATACATCAGTACTGCTTTCCATGCCTGTAAATCAGCAGACTTAGATAAACAAAAAAGGAAAGATGATGATAGCATATGCACATATCAGGACATAGAATAAATTTCAAGAGGATAGACCGTGGAAAAAATAACACTAAATTGCATGATGAAGGCATAATAATAATTAAAGTATACTCCATATCGACAATTAATTAATTATTAATCACAATGATGTGCCTCTAAGTATTGGAGTCTTCATTTTTGTTACAAGTAGTACCAGTCTTAGATTCAATGGAACAAAGGAAGCTGTGGCACTCTTTGAAGCAAATGACGAGGTGCGTACTTAACAAATTGGTAATGTATGATTGACAGGAGCCAAAAATCAATTGGATTTATAAAAAAAATGTTCAGGATATGTTGGTATCAGTTTGGTTTTCAATTTTTTATTATAACCAAACCAAACCAAACCAAACGAAGCCTTAAGTCCCATCAAATGGGGTCGGCTACATGAATCCTTCTTCTCCACGCGGCCCTATCAAAGGCCATTTCATTAGTCAAATTAAGTAGATTCATATCTCTATTTATAACGCTAGTCAACGTTAAAATCAATTGGATTTATAAAAAAAAAATGTTCAGGGTATGTTGGTATCAGTTTGGTTTTCAATTTTTTATTATAAAAAATAATAATAATAAAGAAATTGATACAAAAATTTGTTTGGCAAACTGTTTTCAGGAAATCTTCTGAAAACATCCCATTTTTTAGGGAACACTTTTGATGTTTTGTGTTCTAAATTTTTGAAATTGTTTTTGCACAAAAATAAGAACGATATGAAAACGATGGGGTGTTTTCAAACTTTTGATTGTTTTTGTTTTTGAAAACATGAAAAATGATGACACTGAAAATGAAAACATACCAATTAGATTGTCAGTATTTGGAAACTCAGTAGCCCTTTCTTCTTTTCAATAAGTGGAGATTTAAGTTCAAATACAGCCAAAACTACCTCTTACCAGTTACCACATAACATTTACTGTAATAAACATGGCAAATTATAACCCAAATCAGCAAATTGGAAGAAAACATCTCTCCTGTTTTGTACCTTTTGGCTTAATGACACTAACGGAAGTTACTGCATCACTGTGTCCCTCTAATACATGTGAACACAACCCAGCAGCTTTCCATACCCTAAGTTAACAGAATTAAAAGAACATAAAAAATTTATCAAGTTTCTATTCATGAAGAAATGAACAAAACTAAAACAAACATAATGTAGTTCCATGAGAGAAGTAGAATGCATCAAAATTCTTGCAGTATTACCTTCCTAGACCATCATAGCACCCAGTCAGAATGAGCCTGAAACATGGCACAAAGAAGGATATATTTTGGAAATTAATGCAATTCACAGTGCAATTAAGAATGTGAAATACTAGTAACACATCAATATTCCACATTGTCTAATGCACACGTAATTGTAAACTATGCAAAATAGGCTTTAAATCTTTCACCATATTAAGACTGCCAGGTCTAAAATTTTGGGAAGAACCTCCTGCTCTTCATAGCAAATAAGCTACTGTATTCAATATTTGCTAGTAAAAATAGTCCATTTCATCTAGAAAATAGGAGATGTAAAATAAGGATTCCAAAAGACCTCAAAAAAAGTGAACGTGATATTTAGCCCCAAAGTTCCATCCAATACACGTAAGTTAAGGTTGGGGCTAGATATCTAGCCTGACAATGTACAGCACAGTACAGTCTCCGCCATCTATGGGAACTATATGATTAAGAGCTTATACAAGGATGAGAATAAACTTTTGTAACAATCTGTTATCTAGGTGAGGCAGTGGATAATTGTCAGCAATTCACAAACTGAAGCAGATTGGAATGAACTCACCCCAGATGGGAATGAACTCAACCCAAATGTACATTTCATAACTTTTGGAAGCATGATGATAGTATATCACAGTCACACTGCATAAATCCATTTGTGCATGGAGAAATGTAGAACATGTTATCTATGGAGAAAAATTAACGATTCATGTTTTCTTATCTGTTCGTGTCCTAGTCTGCTCATTGATTGCTTTGAAATGAATAGAAGCACATGCCCTATACCAACATCATACAAACAAAATTTAAGACAGACAATTGATTTGGTCTTATTGGAAAGACCATAAAAAAGATCATCCTCAGAGCTAGCTAATATAGAGGTGCATAATTTACCAGATGATCGAAAGTAAAATGTTCAATTCAATCTAATCAAATTCAGACAATGCCACGGTCAAATTTGGCACCATCAAACATTAGAGGTCACCATAGTGTGTCCCATTTTCACAACAGGCAAGAGAGAACAACTCCCTTCCAAAAGATATAAATCTTCCTAACAACGAAAGGTCATAAACATCAAAGTACTTAATACACGAAAAAATAGAATGGGGGAAGAATAAAGCAACATGGATACTCTTACAAATTCACAAGCTTACCCAGGATTTGAGCCATCAACAGCACTGACCCAATCATCATGTAAAGAAGGTTCTTCTTCTTTTCGTGGGGCCACAGCTTTTATGTATTCAATTTCTAATATTTTCTCCTGTAATAGATCAAAGATTCTGGTTAGGAATGTGCCAAAAAAGGACAAATTCATGATGAAGAAACAAAATTCTCTACGGAATAAACAAGGTATTTTCAGCTTCTTATGTGTCCCTTTCTTTAGTGCATACTCTGATTTTCCTTTTTTATTGCTGAGCTCATACTCTGGTTTTATGCATGAAATTTTACATGAGCACTTTTCTTGCTTAAGGTTAACATCAGCAGCCACAGAACAGTGGAACTTTGGACTAGGGTGTTCAACACTATAAAAGGTATAACAATAGATGTGAGAATTCGATTAAATTATCACATTTTTCATTCTCTATTAGTTTTGAAAGCAGGTTCATCTCTTTCTCGTTTTAGTAAAAATCAAGCAGTGAAACAATAAGCAGAGTTTTTTAAAGAGCACAAATGATATTCCACTTGTAAAATTGTGAAACACCAATTTTAGGAAGGAAAAAAAAAGTACCGCAGAAATGCCCTTGGCGAGTAGAAATTCTTCAAGCGACATCCGAACTAGCTCTCCATTGATCAGAAAATCAAATGGTTCAGTTTTCCAATCAGCATTTCCTGGTGATGATCAGACAAAAAACTTAAAATAATAAAGTAAATAAATAAAGAATTTGTACATATCCACACATTCATGTGTGTGAGTGTTGATTTATGAACAAGCAAGTTGACTAATATAGATAAAAATATTCAAGTCAAACAGAGAATAGACTTGCAAATCACTAGCATAAAAGCTGGTGCAATCTTCAATTGTCTAGCAAACAATTCTCTAAAGCCTAATAAGAGCTCACACCATCAATAGCCAATCATTTTTCAATTCAAATTAGCAAGAGAAAAAACAATCTCTTATCTTATCATATGATCACAGAACCTAGATAAAAAATAAAAAAATAAAAAACTCCATTGACTATTAATCACAGAACAACACACATATGTACATACATACATATAGACATAGATACAGATAAGAGAAGAGAAGATATGTACCAGCTTGAAGAAGGTTGTTGAGAATTGCGGAGAGGCCCATGCGAGTGAGATTAGAAGGAATAGCAATGGAAGTGCTTGGAACCTTAAAAGGAGCCTGGAGTTTTGTGACGAAGCGGACTTGGATTCGCCTTGAAAACTCTTCAACATCTCCATTGATATCCATCTCTCTCTCTCTCTCTCTACACACACACACACACAGAGAACAGAGAGAGAGAAAACAAAACTCAGTGGAGAAGAAGGGAGGGAAGCCAATAAATTAGGGCAGAGGAAGTCTTAATGCAATATGGGCCGTTTTTTTGGATTGTGAATTTTTGTAAGGGCTAACCTAGCTCACAGTGCAAAGTTTAGTTATGGGTTAGATGGCCTTATCAGGCTCAGATAATGGGCTTTTAGCCCAAACAAAAAAGTGGATACAATATGTCCTTCCTATTCCATTTATAGAAAAATTGCATTAGAAATTTGATCCTATTTAGTTTAAATGATTTTTTCAATTGTTACTTTTACAAAAACTAAAACAAAAAATCATGTATTATTTGCAAGAAAATAAGAGTCAAGTTACCATGTTGATATGTATTGTATAAGAAATTTAATTTTCTTGTATTTTTCCATCACATTCTTGCTAAATAAATGCGAGAAAATTTTCATTGTTTTTTCTTTCTATAATTTTTCACTATTTTCATCACAATCAAACTCAGTCATTGAGCGTTCGTGCTTTTTACTTTCATGATGTTGAATTTTTTTAGATCCGTGCACATAGCTCAAATGTAATTGATGAGATAATAACACTCGTATTTGTGAACCCAATAGTCCAAATAGTCTCCAACAATTGTAAGGGCTAACCTAGCTCACAATGCAAAGTTTAGTTATGGGTTAGATGGCCTTATCAGGCTCAGATAATGGGCTTTTAGCCCAAACAAAAAAGTGGATACAATTTGCCCTTCCTATTCCATTTATAGAAAAATTGCATTAGAAATTTGATCTAAATGATTTTTTCAATTGTTACTTTTACAAAAACTAAAATAAAAAATCATGTATTATTTGCAAGAAAATAAGAGTCAAGTTACCATGCTGATATGTATTGTATAAGAAATTTAATTTTCTTGTATTTTTCCATCACATTCTTGCTAAATAAATGCGAGAAAATTTTCATTGTTTTTTCTTTCTATAATTTTTCACTATTTTCATCACAATCAAACTCAGTCATTGAGCGTTCGTGCTTTTTACTTTCATGATGTTGAATTTTTTTAGATCCGTGCACATAGCTCAAATGTAATTGATGAGATAATAACACTCGTATTTGTGAACCCAATAGTCCAAATAGTCTCCAACAAGGCCTAGATCAAAATTTTAATTGCAACTTTAATACAAGATTTGGATGGGAAATTCTTTAAAATTCAAATTCGTCCCAAAATTAATTTACATAAAAATTATGTTTGAGTTCTAAAAATATATATTTTAAAAAAAATATACATAGGTTTGAATTGTCACGGCAATATCCTCTGCATGGAAATGGTTAAATCCCATGAAAATCAATTGTTTGTCGTAGATTTGTTGACAATTAAAGCATTACCTGATTTGGCATGTTAACATTTTCACTTAAAAATTACTATAAAAAATTCAAAAATTAACAAATATCAAAAAATCAAAAAAATCATTTCTATTTACTTTACTTTTTACATATATTTTCATAAAGAATTTTAAAAATAGAGAAATAGCTGCACAATGGTATAATGAGAAAAAATTATAAAATCATGAAAAAAGTATAACATTTTAATTATTAAAGTGTATAAGTTTTACCACTGATTTGTAATTTATTTTTTCTATACCCACATAATTCTCCCTTAAAAAGTATCTTAAACATTTTTTTTTTTTAATCTCATATTTTAGTCAATAAAATAAAAAGTCACTAAAAAATCATATTCTCAAACCACCCCTAATGAACTCAACTTAGTAAATCAAGTAAGTCAAAAAATCAAAGGTTGCGTTTGGTAGAGTTTTATAAATATGATTTGAGAGTATGAGTTGTATTTTGAGTTTATGAGTTTTGAAATTATGATTTGAGTGTAAAAAATTTGTTTGGTTATGGTTTTTGAATAGAGTGTTGAATTGAGTTTTGAATTGAGTGTGAAATTGAGTTTTGAAAGTTTGATTTGACATGTGAAATGAGAAATTTTGTTTGGTTATGAGTTTTGGAAAAAGTTTTCAAAATTTAATTCAAATTGTTATAACTCATAACAAAACACACTAGTTTCACACTATTGAAAATTTTGATCAACACTCATAACTAAACTTTTTTTAAAATTCAATTAAAAAAATTTATTATTAACAGAAAATAACATTAATCAATTTTTTAAATGAAAATACTACAAAGGAAATAAATTTTTTTTTTCAAAATAAATATTCAAAAAATTTAAATCATAAATATTTAAATAATCTAAAAAATTTAATAAGTAAAAAATTAAAATAAATATTCAAAAAATTTAAATAATTTAAAATGTTAATACTTTAAATTTAAAAACAACTCTACACTCAAATCGCAACCAAACACATAAAACAAAACCCAATTAAGAAATTATTTTTAAAACTCATAACCAAACACATAACTCGAAACTCCATACTACTTTCACAACTATACACTCAAATTGTAACCAAATACATAACAAAAAAATTAAAATATTTTTATAACATAGAGTTTGAATTTATTTTTATAAAATATTTTAAAATTTAAAAAATTAAAATCGTAATATTTTGAAATTAAAATATTTAAAAATATTCAAAAAAATAAAAAATTTTAAAAATCGTAACATATTTAAATATTAAAATATTTAAAATCTTAACAAAATTAAAATATTTTTAAAATATTTAAATACTAGCGTATGCCCGTGCCTGAAGGCACGATGCAATTAATGATGACATTAAAATATAAATCAAAATTAGAGAGGAATGTATTCAAATTTTTTGTTTTGTTTTGTTTTTTTTTATTTTTTTTCTCTTTTCAAAGAGTATGTAATGAATCCATGGGAAGGAGAAAAATCCCTAAATGAAGACATGAAACTTAAATGAAACACCAATTTATTAGTAACTCAAATAAATTTCAAGAACCCCCAAAATTAGAAACATCCATGACTCTCAAAATGATGTGGACCAATCATATATTTTTATTTTTTTTCTTTCCTTTCTGGACTAATCATAGGTGAGTGAGAGTTATAAAGTTCTATTTTTTTAAGAATATGTAGCATTTCTGATATTTTTAATAAAAAAAAAAATCTTCCCAAGATAAATTGCACTTCTCCCAAATTGAAACACTTCCTATCAAAACACTAATCATATTTGAAACACTTCAATCTCATTTATGCTATATTTGGTACATTGAAATGAGATGAAATTAAATGAAATGGTAATTTCTTACACTTTCTTATGGAATGATCATCTCCTTATAATAGTTAATGATGACTCTCATTGTAATGAATTTTTTGTTATTATTTTAGTCAACCAAACATGAGAAGTGTAAGGAATGTTTGAACTTTATTACAGTGAACCAAACACTACCTAATTGATCAATTATCAGGAGTAAAGTCCTATCAATCAATCGTTGAAACTAATTGATTAAGCGATTTGATTTTCTAAATTATTATGTAAATGAATTATTATATATATATACTCTTATATATTTCCCACTTTCAACCCAATTTATAAAAAAAAAAAATTAATTGGAATATTAATTATGAAAGATGATAGTTATTGTGTTATTGTGTGTGCACCTATAGATGCAAAAATAACTAAAACTTATTTAATAGTGCATGCTTACCATCTCGCACATGATCAGCACCACTATATATGCGAATATAATAGATGAATAGTGATTCGGTAAAAAAAAATTAAAGACTCATGTTTCAAATACCAGGAAAAGTTATTAATTTTTTTTAAAAAAAAAAAAAAGAAAAAGTAATGGTAGGCCATCACATGCAACAGTTTTTGGTAAAATCACACAATATAAAATCACATCCAAAGAACAAAATATCCTCACAAAGGAAAAAAAAATTCAGACAATTCAAGAAATGGGTATTGATAAGAATACAAACACAATTCTAGATCTTCAATTTGCACAAACAAAATGATAAAATAATAATAATAATTAGAAGGAAAAAAAAAGGAAAAAGAAACAGGATGAATCAATGAATGAATAGGGAATTGGTATAAACATCCATCCAAACAATGGTGTTATAGAGATGGAGGCCAATAGATTTGCTCCAAACGACCGTTGTTTCTCTCTGATTGGTAAGTCCGATTGCCTTAAGTCCACCGTCAACATTGTGCCCATCTACAGTGGCTTTGTCAATTGCCTTGCTCATATAAATCTTCACACTCTCCATAATCTCCATCGGATCGTGCTTTACCCATCTGCAGATTCACAAACAAAACAACAATAAAAAAACAGAGCAATCACAAAGAGAGAGAGAGAGAGATAGATAGATAGATAGAGAGAGTTCTTCATACCCTACTTGTGGGTAGAACTGGCGTGGAGATGACTGGAGGAAATGGCACAGGTAATGACTGGATGAGGTGATGAGCAGTACCATGGCTGAGAGTGGGTGTTTTGAAAATTGAAAATTTTGAGTGAGACTGAAAGAAAAAAAAAGAAAGTTTATAAAGAGAGTTCGATAAGCGTGGGTCTTTTTTTTGTAGGGAGTGGATGGGTGTGTTTTGAAATTTAAAAAGTGGGAAGGTGAGGTGTGACAAATAAGGATGGGTAGTTACAAAGTTTGTGGCTCTTGGGCGAGAAATTCAGGTAGAGTGAGAGAGAAGGTTTTCATCTGAGCTGTCCATCTAAATATAGAAATGAATCAGGACCATTAAAATGTCCTAGTAAGACAATTGTCTCTAACATATTTTCAAAAATCTTTGTGCCTTATTATATAGATATCTCTCATTCCACTTACCTCTGTTCCATCACCTGGTATTACAATCGCAATCTCATCTGCAGTTGGTAAGTTATACCGACATCGATCAGTTGTTGAATTGTAATGAAGATGAGCAGGTAGATTGTGTCTTGCCGCGTCTAATTGATGTAAAATGGCATGAGCCTGGCGAAATGTAGCTACAAATGCATTGACTTGCAACAAACTATCCTGAATAGTTTTGAGCACATCCCTTCTCAAGTTAGGATTTCCACGATTACGAATTTCTAACGCTAAATCAAGGTCATAGATATACAGTTGACCATAACTCACATCCTGCCCTGGTTGTGGTTGTAGTGATCCTGTTCGATGTCGTAATTCCCCATGAATTGTGAATGATGTAGGACCCCTTCCACTGAGTACTCTAGGATCCAATATAGCACCAAGACTCGTAAAAGCATTGACTGCATTGTACAATCGAATATAATTTCGAAACGATTTTGATTGATCATTATTCCCATCATACAACGCTTGTAGTGATGAAGGAGGTGTAATAAGTAAAGGTAGCCTAATCTTTCATTCCAAACAGCAAGTTCCGAATAAGGGACGCTTTATAGATGATTTGGTCAATTTTTCATCCATCTAATGTAAGGCTGAACAATAAGGACATAATACGTTCATCTTGCCAAGATAATGGCGGCAAGAATTGTTGTGTGCTCGGGCATCAATTGATGTACTCATAGGCATATCTTCTAATTCATCATCAGTACATAGATCTTCTTGAAGAAATTGATTTATAGAAGTAGACCTACGAATATTTGTGTATAAATAAAATTCTATAAAACAAAATGGTAAGAATATGTATTTCAAGATTTGACATAGTAGTTTACCGATTCCTTTGTGGAGGTAAAGATGTGCTTGGCATAGAAAACGAACATATAGAATGATGGGGCAACCATTGTTCATTTTTGTGCCGAATGAGAATCTTCAGTTATTGTTTCCCATTCCAGGCAAGCGCGATTGCGACGATTTGGTGCTAAAGAAGGGTGTATTGGTTGAATACATTCTTCTGATCCCTCTTGTTCTCGTTGCGAGCATTGAAAATATGACTTTTCATTTTTTTCACGCTCTTGTCGTGCACGTTAGGCCAATGCAGCTTTTGATATAACATTACCATTTTGTGCCTAAAATGAAAATATTTTGTCATTGGTGCAAAATATGTGAATATTTTGTCCTTAACATGAAATATCTTCTTGTTTATTTTGTTTCTCTTAATTTTTTTTATACCTTTAATAGTGTTATCTGTATTTATTTCTTTCTTTATGCATTTTGTTTTTTATCAAAAAAAATAAAGAAGAAATAAAAATCTATCATATTTAGTTTATTCTTTCATTACATAGTTTGTCTTTATTTCTTCGTTTTTTTTTTCCTATTCTTTTCATATGTTACATTATAAATGCACATGTATCTATGCTAAATAAAAATAAAGAAATTTGAAAAACACATATAAATAATAGCAAATTATAAGAAAATATATTACAATCATTCTATGGGCAGAAACATAAAGCAGCAAATTCACATAGTTTTGCTTCATATTTTTTAAAAGAAATATATATCACTTGACATGCATTTGTCATTCTCTTGTCAGAAGGAGCCACCTTTTCTTTTTCCTTAGACATTGAGTTGACCTTTTTCTTTTTCTTTTGCCTAACAAATATAAATAAAATATTCAAAACATTTAAAAAAATCTTATATAAATAAAAATACATACAATGTTTTACTTGATTTTGTATTTACCGCACGAACACGAAGAACATTAAGGTCGTGCTCACCACGGATGACCACACTAACATTTCTAGATGGGGTTGTAGGAGCAGGCCCACAAAAATAGATTGTGAATAAATTAAAATATGTATAATAAAGTGGTAATAGTAAGAATATATATTTCAAGAATTAAACAAAGTTGTTTACCAATTGGGTGTTACAGAAGTTTGTCTTAGGTTAATACATTCATCTGATCTCTCTCATTCTCGTCGCAGGCGTTGTCCTAATTGGTATGCAGAACATGAGTTTTGATTTTTTTTACGTTCTCGCCGTGCACGTTGAGCTAATGCAGCTTTTGATAGCACATTATCATTGTGTACCTAAAATGAGAATATTCTATAATTAGGTGCATAAAATGTGAAGATTGTCCCACCTTTTGCTTCCCTTTTATCATGTATTTGTTATCAGAAGTTTAACTAACTTTTCTTCTTCGCTCGGTTGAGTTGTTAATCACATAAGAACCAATGCGTGTATTGATAAGATTTAAAAAGGGAGGAAAAAAACTCATGGAATTTCACCAAATTCCAAAAAGACACTATCCATCTAGTGTATACCAGTGCCTAAAGGCACGGTGTAAATAATATTGGTATCACATCCTTTACAAAAAAATTAATTCAAAATGATAATAATTTCATTGTTACAGAAATCAATTATAAGTAAAATTAAAATTTTAAAAAAAATCTATATTATATAATTAAAAACTTCATTTCATTTTTTGTTTTCTTCTCTTATATGTTTATTATGATATGTTGTAAATGCAACATGTGTTCAAATTAATGTTCAGACAAAAGCATTAACATGTTATACAAATGCTTACTTTAACATGGTTTGCTTACTTTACCATGGTTTAGAAAAATATTTTACAATCAGTCAAAACAATTGAATAAATATTTTAAAAACAATAACTCATAAAAATATACATAAAAAAGAGTATATGACATTATGCAATTCTTACAAAAATCTATATAAAAAAAATTAATAAATATTTGAAAAACAAACTTTTTAAAAATGTTGAGAAACCATACTACGGGATTTGCATGCTCCTTTCCTTTGCCAGAAGGGATAGCCTTTTCTGTCTCCTTTGATATTGCTTTGTGTTTTTCCTTTTCCTTTCCCCATAAAAAATAAGTAGAATATATAATTCAAATATATTTTTAAAATGATAAGAAAATGCATACGAATATAAGTTACTTGTAGGCTTACCTCACGAATGCGAATAGTATTAAGGTCACGCTCATCGCAGACAACAACATTGACATTTCTTTCTTGAAGAAATTGAATCTATATATACAAAAACTTTAGAGTGATAAATAAAATTTTGTACACATAAATAAGAAAAAAAAAAATCATTTCTTTCTTGATATTCCCGTTCGGCGTAAGTCTTCATCCACCTATAAAGTATGAGGGAAAAAACATTTATTAGAAGAAAATTAGATATGATAAGTTTAGAATAAATAAATATATAGGCCTTACATTATAAGAGAGGTATTTAAATTTCTATGGAGGGAGAAAAAAAAAAGTAAAAAGAACACTTACTTGACCGAAAATAGTGATATTGTTCATAACTATTGTACTTCAACCTGAAATGTTTGGTTATATAATTATGACTATTCGATGATGTATTTTAACAATCACATTAAAATGATCAAATTAAAATCAACCCTAGCAACATGAAGAGTATTAAAATGGGAACACAACAATTGTCCAAATTTGAACTCTTCTCTTCCCCAACTGACTTCAATTGTATAGTGTTGAAATTAAATTTAAATTTATCATTATCATTATCATTTAGAAAGTCCAAACATAAATGTATGCCACCAAAAAAAAAAAAAAATGTTTAATCAGCAATTTATACTAACCCAAGCAATTTATACTAACTCTCAAGTAAAACTAACCCAAGCAATTTATACTAACTCTCAAGTAAAACTAACCCAACACATTGAAAAATTCAATGGAACATTTCTAAAAAAAAAAAATGGAACAAAAACCCCAAATTCATAATGCAAAATGAAAATAATACAATCGATTGAGGTGCCCTTGGAAGGCATATATAGTTAGAAAGAAAACTGGCTATACAGTGTGTTCTCAATCGATTGTATTACTTAGTGGAAGTAACACACTGGCTAACAAGAACAAACATATTGGAAGGCATATAAGAACACACTACAAAATCGATAGTGAACATGTTCTAATCAGCAGCAATGTAGGTCCTATAACAGGGGACTATATGTAACAACCCTCATGCTGCTTACCGACTAATGACTGATTAATCGCTAATTACTGTTAACCGAGACTGATTATGACTGATAATTGAACTGAATAAACTACGGAACTGGCTGACTGAAATTGGAAACCGAATTGATTGAGTATATGTTAGTTAAATTGCATTCTATCTGTTCGACTGTATGATTATCTGTTCATGCTTATATGTTTAGACTGTAAGTGAAGGCCTTATCGGCGGCCGAATCCAAAATTGATTAGTGTTTTATGATCAGCATAATTTATGTAATTTTATGGTATAATTATCTAAAAACTGATTAGGTATGATTAATTGAGATTAAAATGAGTTAATTGCAAGTTTGCCGTAATTACCAAATTGCCACCCTTAGTGGCCCACTCAATACATATATTTGAGCCTCATTACACCTTGAATCAAAACACATTTTGCTCAGCCATTCTCCTTGCTTTGCCGACTAGAGAGAGAGAGAGAGAAAGAGGAGTAGAGTGTTTCAACTTGATTCATCTTTAGAATTGCTTGGAATTGGAGGAATTGAGAGGAGTTCTTGCTAGATTAAACCTCTAGACTTGCATTCAAGGAACCTAGGTATGAATTTCATCTTCTCGATTTGTCTTTAAGTTGATTCATGCATGGTTCATGTCTAATTGTAGAGCTAAGTCATGAATTGGTTCATTAATGGTGAATTGAAGCTCATTTCATGCATGCGTGTTTGTAATATAGATGTTTGAGTTGTTTTCATGGCAAAAGGGTACATGCATGTTCATAATTATGTTTAAGTCCATGATTTCACCATGTTTTGAAAAGAATTGGCACCTTAGAGCATCAAATTGGAGCTTCAAAATGATTTAAATTCATGCATGATTGCATGTCCTCCATGTTTATGTTATTGGTTTGAAATTGAGTGTGAATTAAACACCCTTGGGCTTTGATTTCTCAAATTGAGCTTTGAACCATGTTATTCTATGTGTTTATAAATGTTTTCCAGAAAATGGGCCCAAGAGGATTGGTTTTGATGCATTTAAACTTGGTTTTGGCTTGGAGGTGCAATCTGGGTTTTCCAGATTTTGCACTTCCGCTCGAGCGGGGAAAGTTGCCGCTCGAGCGTGGAATCCAAGCGTCCAGTATCTCTGCACTGTTTTACAGTCCGCTCGAGCGGAGGATTGGGCGCTCGAGCGGAGTCATGTCTCAAGCTCGAGCGGGCGTCGAGCGGAGATTTCATCCATCCAGTAAACTGTTACAGTACGCTGAGCGGGAAAGTTTTACGCTCCGAGACGATGTACCTTTGTTGCATGTCCGCTCGAGCGGGTAAACCTGCGCTCGAGCGGGAATCTGTTTTTCTGAAAATTCCGAGACTGTTTTCTGATCACATCTTTGCATCCTCATCCCATTCTAGGCATTCTTAGACCTAGTTTAAGGCATCTTATTGAGGATATAGATGTAGAACACACCGAGGCAAATTAGGGATTAAGTTGTTATCTTTCCCAATTGTGTAGCTTAGTGTGTGTTCATCCTGTGAACTGTGTAGGGTTAGCGACTAGGGAGACACGCTCTAGCATACTGTAGACCAAACTCTGTGAGTAACAATTGTGTAAAGATATGTTCAAATGATTATCTTCTGAATACTGAACTGAACTGTTTACTGGACTGATATTGTTTACTGAATGAATGTATGTCCTATCTTCTGAACTGTATTGTGGCATCCTTAGCACCTACTGTTTACTGTTACTGTTACAGAGATCTCTGTCGGTTCCCTCGTGGGACCACTACTGTTTACTGATTGATGGCCATCATTACTGCTCGGTCTTTAAGACCTACTGTTTACTGTACTACTAATGGATGTACCACATATGATTGAATAACTGTTCTGACTGATAAGATGAAGTATTGTTTAATGAACTGATTTCAATACTGTAAGGACATTTCAATTCTTAACCCTTTTACGCATTACTTATTCACTGGGCTTTAGCTCACTGTTTATATATATATGTAGGTGTTCAGCCACCAGATCAGAGCTAGGAGCGTGGGTTAGACTCCAGTTTTGTCAAGCCAGCCTTTGTGCTTCACTGAGAGGTTCCGAGTTGCCATGTTATGGCTTTGGGGTGTCTTGTTTTTCCTGTCTGTCTCCATACTGTTTGGATTACTGTATAGACTGTTAACTGCTAACCGTAATGTTTATCAAGGGATTAGGTCCCTGTACTGTGACTGTAAATCTTGTATAGACTGTACTGTTGTATATGTGAATGCATGAAAAATCTTTTTGGCATACAGACTGACACAGCCCAATGGACATTATTCATTTACTGTATTGGCTTCCGCCAGGCCCTGTAACTCTGTTTTACTATTCTAGTGTTCTGCAGGCCTTCGTAATCTCGGATTACTGGCCGGTTACGGTGCTTAAACCCATAGGGCCGGGTTTGGGTCGTGACAGAGTGGTATCAGAGCGATACTTACCACGATTATATCGCACACACACGTGTCCAAATGAGATATAGGGTGTCCTAGAAAAGTAATTAGGGCATCTCAATGAAGTTGAAAGTGGTGGCTATGTAATGACTGAATACATGTGATGTGATTAACTGTCTAAATATGCAACTGTTTATGTTACAATTTAAAACTGTTATAACTGCTTATAGTGAAATGGACAATGCAAATGAACCTGAATCCTCATCTACTGAGGCAAGAATGAAAAGAATGATGGAACTGATAACCACTAGACTTGAACACACAACAGAACCAACCGCCCCCACCTCCTCCTCCTTCGGTACAGCCGGAACCTAATACGAATGTGAATGATGGGGATATTAATTGCTCTCACCCATAAATTCAACAAGATGAAACCGCCATCATTTCAGGGAGGACGAACCGGCTAAAGGCTGAAGCTTGGGTGCTTGAAACAGAAAAACTATTTGAAGTGTTTCCGTGCTCAGAAGCGAATAAATATTTGTTAGCTACCTTCACCCTCAAGAAAGAGCTAGAAGGTGGTGATGCTTATCTCGTAATGAAGAAATACAGTTATGACTTGGGCTCAGTTCAAAGGAGCCTTCTTTTGAAAGTATTTCCCTCAGTGTGTCAGGGATAGAAAAGTGACTGAATTTGAACAGCTGAAGCAGGGCACATGTCCGTTGCGGAATATAGAACGAAATTCACCGGAGCTTGCTAGATATGCACCGCATATGGTATATACTGAATATAGAAGGCCAGGAAGTTTGAAGGCGGCCTTAAGTTGCAATTCTTGACAGAATCAATGTTTTGAAGCTACCGAACTAGTTAAATGTTCTTGACCGAGCCTTGATGGCTGAATCAAACATTGAAAGCACTGAAAAACTGAAACACCAACGTCGGAATGGCGTAGTAAGAGGCAGGGTTTTAAATTCAATAAAGGCAGCACAACCCGGCCAACAAGAACAGAAAACGGGGTCGACAACTAGCCCAGCCAAGTGAGTGGTTTCATACCACCCTGTTTTTTTGAGTGTGGCAAGAAGCACAAAGGGGTCTGCTACAAAATATCTGGAGCCTGCTACAGGTATCTCTCTCAACAACACAACGGAGT